TAATTATATTTCTACATAAATCCATTAGGTGTTTGTTCTAAATCTGTCCTGAACTGATAAATTGCTTCCAGGTGAATCCTGAGTTTCTCGAATGTTCTGAAATGTGTGAAGTGTTAGATCAACCAACGATCAGCCAGTTTTCTGAATCTCATGAACCATCAGTTGGTTAGCATAAGGTGTATAAAGCCAGAGCACAACATGATGTTACATTTCTGACAATGGAAGGACAAAGATTCGGATGAGTCAACAGCCAGAGAGAAGAAGAGGAGGAAGAGGAGGGAGGTAGAGAATTTAGGAGGCAGAACAGAAAAACTGTACTGTGATTTCTACAGCACTGCATGTACAGTCTTCCTCAGGGGTTTGTCCTGTGTTTCCATTTCTACTTTTTTCCTTTGTCCTCTGCAGTGCTGTCTGTCTTTTTCTTTCTGTATCACAATCACCTCTTCTGTCATCAATTTACAGTAAAAACATAAATGTGAATCTTGTCCAGCCTCTTGCCATTTATCTCCCACAACTACAACTTACAATACTTGTCATCAAAATTTTAGTTTACAACAGAACATCCCTCTTATGACTGTCTCATCCAAACACAATGAAGCAGGGCCTTGACATTCTGAGGCATGAACATGTTGGCTGATACAGATATTTCATTTTGTGGAATGGCCTCAGTATTCTGAGAAAGAAACTGGGATTTTCAGGTAATCCATGCTGTTATGCTGTTTGTACAAATAGTTTTGAGAAATGCACTTACTGTTTCGCAAATGTTGTAAATGATTCGAGAAATGCGCCAACGTGAGCAAGAAACATCGTAAGAATTCTTTCCACTCAACTCTGCAGCTGAGAGCAGCTCTGATTTATCCACTGGGTTGAAAAACATCAGTCATCATTCCACTGAACATGTCTCTGCAGCTGTAGAGTCCAGTGGTGGTGTACTTCACACCCCAGCATTACATTGCACTTGGTGCTCAGTCAAGAAAACCGTCTCTGCTCACAGCTCTTGAATTAATCTGAAGGTTGTATGAAGTTTGGAGTCTGCAGCGACTGACTGCAGAATGTCTGGACTTCTGTACACTACATGCCTCAGCATTTGTAGTGGTAGGCTAAGTAAAAATAGGCTCACCACTCTGTTCTTCTTATAGCCTACCGCTGTAATGTGAGTTCTTGTTATTCAGTTGCTTCTATTTTGCCTTAATACCA